CAGAGAGAGATGACATTTTAAAGTCGACTAAAACTTGACTAGACTAAAAAGAGTATGAACGTGACTAAAACTAATAAAAAATAAAAAATAAAATGACAGCTTGACACAAAGACTAGACTAAAACTAAAATTAAAACAGGCCGCCAAAAACAACACTAGTTACCTGTTCCCGCCTGCCTCCCTTAAAACTCTTTGCCTCAGCTTGTCCACTGCTAAAGTCCAAAACACATGTAGCACAGAGAAATTGACACTTAGGACATGGTACAGTTCCTCACATGAAGATATCATTGTAATAATAATAATAATAATGATAAACATTATTTATAAAGCACGTTTTAAAATCAGTGAATAGTGCTTTAGAAAAGTCAATAATGTCTGTATCACAGCAGCAATCGTTTGCCTGACAGTGATGACTTTTTAATATCCCTTATTTATATAAGAAGTTCATTAGTCAACACTCCGTCTCAGTCTCACACCTTTCCTTGTAGAAAATCCTGTTTGACTCTATTTTTAACTCACATTTATAACAGGCTCAAGATCAAGAACGTTGAGACAAGACAAAGCAGCTGAATCAGCTCAGTCCTTCATTCGTCTTCATCACAAGATGAAAAAGTTATTTTTGTTGCTTCTTTTCTGTCACGTTTCATCAGCAGACGGGATCACATAAAATATTCATTTAACTGTTCTCTTTCTACTCGGTTCTACTCTCACTCCTGCAGGATTTAGTCTAAGTTTTACTTCAACTTGATAAAACAATACGTTTAAACTGAATCCTACTGAATACATCATATTTATGACGAGTGTATATTTATAATGAAAACCTTCTTTGTCCCATGCAGTGAAACACACTCTGAAGTATTTCCTCTTCTGGAGTCCCAAACTTCCCCGAGGTTGTGGCTGTCGGACTGGTTGGTGACGTTCAGACCGGATGCTGCGACACCAACACAAACACCAACACAGTAGAACCAACACAGACCTGGATGAAAACAATGTTCAATGACAACCCTCCGCACTTGCAGTCCATGATTCATGTTTCTGTGTAAACTTCAGTTTGATCCTTCCGCCTGCCTCCACTGAAACTCTTTGCCTCAGCTTGTCTGCTGCTAAAGTCCAAAACACATGCAGCACAGAGAAACGGACACTTTAGACATAATGCAAGTCCTCACCTGAATAATGAGAAACTTTATTTATAGAGCACTCATCAAAATCAATGCACAGTGATGACAATAATATCTGCAGCACAGCAGCAGTAGTTTGCTTAATGCTCTTTATAATCTAGAACTGTGGATTCTAAAGGTCTGGCTCATTTGTACCTCAGTAATTTTCTCCTTGTACTCTGAGAGCTGCACAGATGACGACGGTCGATAGTCAAGGTGACACTTACATAAGATTTTTTTAGTTAGTTGTACTTCTGTGGGTTTTATCTCCATCTCTCGTCTCACTGTTTTCCTTGAAAAAACAATCCCTGCTTGACCTGTTTCCAGTTTTAATTCCCAACAGGCTTTTTGCGTTTTATCAACAGGCTCAAAGTCAGGAATGTTGAGTATGAGGATCAAACTCTGAAAACAAAGCATTGTCACTTCTCTTGTTTGTGATAATCATGGACAGGATGACAAGCTGCTGTTGAGTCCGGTTTGGAGAATTATCTGCTTCTGTCCTCGTCACACACTCATAAATGTTCATTGGAGCATTTTTCCAGCTGAGTGTGATGCAGCCAGGATGAAGATCAGGCTCCTCCTTTATACATCTTCTCAATTTTACAACACTTAGCGTGAACACTGGAAGCAGGGAGAAAACAGCAGCAGGGAGTTTTCACAACCATCATCAGGTGCCCCAGTTCATCAAAGCTACTGTTCAGTTACCATTTATATAACAGCTTTATTGAATTTACTGATTTGTCACAAAGCTGGATGGTCTTTAATATGAATAGAATAGGAGATAGGGCTCAGCTTGGGATGCAGACTTCAGTTTTGTCATGTTACATGTCTGTTGATGTAATTCGGCTCGTTATTATAGGTACAGAATAGTCTATGAATAGGCTGAATAAGATTGTGATTCTGCAGAACAAAAGAGCTGCAGATTGTTTTTCTCCATCTGTGGTGTGAGGATCCTCAGTTGACGGTTTAATGTTGATATGATATGGTGTCTGGCAGCTCGTGAAACATTCAGAAACATACTTTGAAATTAGTTACTACAGTCAGGAATCTCAGTTCATCTCCATGGAAACACATCAGTCAACAGACAGGTCCCACTAATGGCGCATTTCATCCCCTTATGGACTCGTATGGACTGTACCTGTGACAAAACTCTGCACGTCATGAGCGCAAAACACAGCTACCTTCCTCCAATCAGGAGTGAACGGGAGTCAAAGTGTCTGAATCATCGGTCCTGCATTGTCTTCTTCAAAACCAGATGAAAACATTACTGATGTTGCTCCTTTTCTGTCACCTTTCATCAGCAGGTAGGATCACGTTTTAAATATTCATTTAATTCTTCACTTCACTTTCTATTCGGCTCTGCATTTAGCCTCCGACGTCTCACTCACACAGTACCATT